TTGGCAGAATGTTAAATTGAGTGGACGTATCTGTAATCTCGTCACTTGAGAAACTAGGTTGAAAGTCAAATGACGAATTGTCAAATTCACTCATCACCTGATGAATGTTATTGAACCGAGGTTTATCAAAAAAATCGGAAGCATTATCGCTTTCATCATCTATTTTTTCTTGTTTAATTTCATGCTTCAAGCCTTCGTTACCATCTTCTTCTTCTTCTTCTTCATTATCGTCATCAAACAATGGCCTACCATTTCTGGGGTCCACAAGAAGATTTAGATCACAGTCTGTCATATTTAAATGATCATCAGCTTCCATGGTTGTGTAGTAAGTCGTTACATTCTGGCGGCCGGCACTGGATGATATGCATGTGTCGTGTTGAGTCGACGAAACTGTGAAATTGTAGAGATCGTTTGAGTTTAAATAGCGAGCATCGTTGCTTAGGCTGTCTCTGTGGCTTCTGCTGACTGCTTCAATTAGTTCTAAGAATGGAAGTTTCTCTTCATTGCTTGTTTCAGTTGTGTAGTCGAAGCAGTCCAGCATTGTGGGATAGGTGACAAGCAACCTGCATCATATTCATCATGATACATATATTATTGACATGAAACATTTTTGTGATGCATAGATTATAAAATGAAATAGCAATGCAATGTAGAGCTACAGGACTATACATATTTTCTTATAATTTTAAACAAATATTGTAAATCTAACTAGTTAAAATTAGCTCCTAACTCTCAATTCTTAATTTCAAAAAATCCCAAAAAACTGAAAATAGCAAAAACCACTTTGAACCAGCCAAGTCTGACCCCAGCGACTCAGGGCAAGAGCCCATCACGCCACTAATTTAGCAATTGAGGATCCGGAAAATAGTCTACTCCCCACGTGAAATACGGCATACAATACTATTTTACTACAACGTGCACTGCCGCGAGCACACGTACACTAACGCTTGTACGGTTTTCGTTTAAACCACGATGGCGGTTTAATCCTTACGAACGATACGGCATTTTCAACTAATTTGAAGCGCGCAAAATTAATTTAATACATCGAAATTAATAAAAATAATTTTTTGAATATTTTTGCTAACTTCTGAGTGTACAAAATCCAGATTTTTATCCTTTTTTGAAAATAAATAAACAAATCCGGACGAACAAAGAACTAGGCAAGTTCAAATAATAAAGCCTGATTGGTCGAAATAATTAATAGCGCACAATTTTTGGGCAGCTTATTAACATAAATTATTCAACCCGTAGATGTTATATGCGTATATGTGTATGTATATATATATATATATATTTATTATGTATATATATACATATATATATTTATTTATTTATACTTATTTATGTATGTGTGTGTGTATTTATATATGTGTACATATATTTATGGATGTATATATAAAAATATTTCCACAGACATTTCCATTTAAATGAAAATTAACTATACACATGCATATAAATCATGGATCTTTATATATATTCCATATATGTTGGCAAAAGACCATAATTTTTACAATATTCTATAAATTCTACCGAATTCCATATATATATTTATATAAATATATTATATATATACATATATATATACATATATATATATATAAATTTTCACAAGAACTTATACGTGTATGTATGAATTACATGGTAATGGTTAAGTGATAGTGATGGTACTACGATGTGGTTCTATTGTGATGACTAACAAATTTTCGCGCTTTGTGTGTAAATGAATGAATGAACGTGAGTGGCTGAATGGATAAATGAGTGAATGTATAGATGAATGAATGAGGGAATGTATAGATGAATGAATGAAAGAATGAATGAATGTATAGATGAATGAATGAATGTTTTCTACCAGCTCGTGGAATATTACGATGAGTATTTCTTCCATTTTATACCATCATCATTATCTTCTTTTTTTCGTGCATTAGGAACATTGGCGACCATCGACCTCCACAAAATCCGATCTTTAACACTTTGTAGTAGTTGAAGTGTGGTGATATTCAACAAGTGTACCATTGGATATAAGCTATAACCATATACTTATAACAGCCATAACTTATACACATCAATGACTATTACAAGAAATATATATTTGAATTTAATTAATTATTTAGTTGATATTTCATACACATGTGGGTAAACCCCATGTGTGTGTGTGTGTGTGTGTGTGTGATGTGTGTGTAAAATTGTATAAAAATCCTGTTATTAATATATACTTATAATACTTATAGCAATTTGATTATCTATTTTAAAACTGTCCCTATTTAGTGTAAACTATTTGATGATAAATTGAGTTTGTATACTATAAAAAATGAATGTTTAACGTAATAAGGTTGAGCTACTATCACATGCACTTTAACTCATTGAGATAAAATTGAGATAACTTTTATCTCTAGGCTTTAAACTTGCCTAAAGTATTAATTCCATTAATAGTTGTGATAAATTTGTCGCTCATATTTTATCTTAAAGTTCAAATTTTATAAAACTTGTAAGTTTAGCATTGTCTAATTTGTAAATTGCGTACATTTTAAAATAATATCTTTTATTTAATATTCTTATTAAATTATTAATATAATTTGAAGATTTATCCAAAGTATATGGTTTAAAAAATTTAAACTATACATTCATATATTAACTTAAAGGGTTAAAACTTATTTCATATATTAACTTAAAGGGTTATGATCGTAGAATTTGTAAAATTTGAATATTTTAAAACTTCAGGTAATCCAATGGTTAGTACCATGTAGGGATTGAAATGAAGCACTTGGCCAGAAGTCCACCATGGAATTAATTTGCGTCGTATAGTTTAAATTAACTTTTAAATGAAATTTTATCAAACGGCTAAAAGTAAAAGAAGGTTTTTACGGACCACCGATCCACAAAGCACCAAAAGTTTACAGATCTCCTGATAAAGTGCCTCCATTCTGTCCGAAATGAATTCCAGTTAGAGTATTTTTTATTCACACTTGTAACATTTTTTCCATTTGGTTAGTTTTTCTATTTAACTAAAAACTGAAAAATGTGAGAGAAAGCTAGTCTGGTCTAATGATGATCTTGTGTGTGTGTGTGTGTAGTGTATGTACTCCTTTTTCTGTGCAGTGATGGGTAGGTAGTATGGGAAGTATGTTCTTTAAACAAAAATATAAAGTCAACTCCATATCACAGTTCAAAAAGTTAATAGTTGTGCTGTTATAGAATGTATGTTATCTGTTTTTTGAAGATGTAGATTTTTGCATATAGACCACTCAGAGTGTATTATTGTTGTAGACTCTTTCTGTGTTATTTAATTCTGTATTGTATTTTTTTTAATTTTGCTGATGATCAAATTTTTAAAAATTAAATAAATGTTAAAATGTGTTTATCTTAGTTTAGTTTAGTAATAAAAACTTTAGTCATTTAGGGATTTATTAAAAATTTCAAATTTTTCTATATTAAACTATTGAACAGATAGGACAGAAATCCATCCCCATTGTTTGAATTGCCACCTCATTGGATGCAGCTACCAGGAATGTCCTGTCATATCCTGTCCCCAAAGGTGTGGCCACAAATTTCACAAATGCAAGTATGATGATCATCAGTTCTTGTGCTCCCAAATGAACGTACCCTGCCTAAATGCTCATTGTGGTTGTCCATTTTTTGTTATCAGAAGACAAATGAGTGCTCATTTGAAGAAATGTCCTGCTTTTGTACTGTTTTGCAACCAGCAGTGGGGTGGGTGTATCAAATTTTTGCACGATACCCCGTCTGAAGAGCCCTCTTCTCATCATTGCATCAAAGCCCAGTCGGTCCAAGTCAATTTTTACAATATTTTTCACAATTCGTTTTTTTTTTCAATCATTCAATTCATTTTTAACTTAATTAAAGAAATTTAAAAGTTCTATTTTTACATAATTACCTCACTTTTACAATTTCATTAGGGACTCTCAGCTTGACGTAGCATTGGCACTGAAGGATAAGAAAGAACTTTATAGGTTCATGAAGAGTTTATCAAAAAAAACTATTCAGGATCTTCGATATCAACTGACGTCTCCTCAAGGGTCACAAGTTCAAACAATTTTTGTCCCAGGGCTCAAAGAAAGATGTATCCCATCACCATTGGTTATATTAAACCTTGATAGAATGTCTTTTCAATGCGACAATATAAAGTTATGTACAGAAGAATCGATCTCTGAAACGTTTGAGCAGCTAGAGAAACATCGGCTGGATCTTGAGGAGAGGTGCATTTGTAAGAAATTGTTCAACATGTGTTTTCGTTCATCTGTTCGCAATTACAACACAGATGACGCCGGTACAAACAATGATAGTGAAAAGGGAAATAGTGGAAAGGTAAAGAGCTCTGACGTTGATGACGTCAATGAAGATTGTGAGGAAGTGTGGGGGTCCAATGGTTATAACGACGATCCAACAAAATCAAGCCCCCATACATTAAATATCTCACCCTTTTTAAACCATACCCTCTGCCTCAACATGTGGCTTAATGATTATTCAAAAAAGATCAAACAATCAGAGTTCATGTACACATTCCTGTGTGGAGAGCTCTTACGAAGAAATGAATTCAGCCAACACTACAAAAACTTTCATCAAGATATTCAGTGTGGGTCGGACAGTTGGCTCGATGTCAGGTGCCCGCTGGCCTGCTACGGCTGCACCTATTCAGTTCGTAAGTTTAGACCAAGGTTTAACGCACATCTCTTATTCGATAGGGAGAGTAGTAACTTTTGCGTTCGACCTGATTCTGTTTTCGGGGATGTCTCAATTAGGAATTCGGCATCTTTAGAGTCGTCATCCGCTGACGTACTGCTTGAAAATATCTTGGAAAATTCAGAAGTTTCAAATTTTGATAATAGTGATAAGCACATTCCTGTAAAAGCTAAACTCCGTGACCAACTTAACGCACGTATACCTATCCTAATCACTGATCTACCGGTCATCGTGTTAGATAGGATATTCTCCTACCTCGATTCAATAAGCTTGAAGAAGCTGTCATTAACATCTAAACAATTCAGAATGGTAATAATGATAATGATAATATTTATAGTTACTAGCTTATTATTATTATTTGACGCTAATTTATCACTTCATTCCATACCTACATGTGTGTTATTTGTGTGTTAACCCATTGCCAATGAGAAATCTAGTTTATGTGTGTATTACATATGATGGGTTAAGTAAATACCAATTGTTCTGAATAATTCCAAATTGTTCTCACTAATTCCTAGTCGTTCTGCCTAATCCATAATTTACTGCTTATTTAGATATGCGAGGAGTACTTGAAAGAGAGGGGAATGGTGGTTGAAGTTTGGGAGAAGATTAAATGTGGCGATCTCTGCAAATGGCGAGCCACAGGATATGTTTGTCTATCTATAATTAATTTTTTCCTTATTTAATTTTTTTTATTAGCTCACCTGTTTTAGGTTCACTCGTTCTTTTTTCTAATTTAAAATTTTTTTTTCATTATAAAACAAATTTTAACTAAAAAAAATCTACACTAACTAGACACACACACGCCCTGAACCACATACACACACACACACACACACATATATATATATACACACACACATATATATATACACACACACATATATATATACACACACACATATATATATATACACACACACACACGTACACTCGAGACAGAGATGGTTATACAGTAACTCATTCGAGAGCATCGACGGATGGATTAGCACTGATGCCGGCACCACCGGCCAGATATCAAATCATTTGAAATCGTGCCCGTACAACAAACGCTGTTGCCATCCCTCGCAATTTAGATACTTCTAGGTCAGACGTTTAAACGTCTCCACACCAACGAAATGATAGTACGAACGAATATTCAAATCAATATCTATGGATCCTCTAGTTCATTGTGCAATTAGGTAATATAAATACTAGATATATTATATATCCCACATTATACAGTTTTTCACAGTTTCTCACTGATCATGAGTATTAATTATTTATTACGGCTAATTAACTAATTTTCATCATTTAAATATCATTATATATATATATTTATATACATATTTATATACTGCATTCTCAGGGTGATTTCTTCAAAAATTTGGTTGAATAGAAGAGTGAATGAATGAGCGAATGATCCTAACTCTATCCCTCTATCTATCTCTCTATCTATATGTATCAATGTTTATATATTTATATATATATATATATATATATATATATATATATTATACTTGTTATAGCCATTCGATATTGTTAATGTTTTTTTAAATGATTTTGGTAGATTATAGAGAAAAAGGAAATTGTCTATTTTTCTATAAATAAAAACATCAAAATAAATAAATATATATATATATATATATACAAATCAACAAAATCAATAAACATTTCAACAAATGCAAATAAGTATCCATGTGTAAATATATGTGTGTAGAATTTGAGGAAAACTTAAGAAAATATATGTAGCTTATGTAGTATATGAGCAAAATGTATACAGGTGGGTATAGGCCCTAGGGTAGGTATAGGACCTAGCGTGTATCAAATGAAGGCTTGCCTAGACACGCAGACGGATACGAAGGGGTCGATAGTGTAGTAGCCTCCGAAGTAGAAGGCCACTCCGAAAAACACCGAAATTGGTAGGGCCGGTAGAGCCTGCTCGTACAGTACCAGCAAGAGAATCGTTAGACTGAGGCCCTGGCGAGATTCAAGAACTCATCAAATGAACGAACGGATATAAATGAGAGAAAGAGCGAATGATTGAATGAATGAAATAATGAACAAACAAACGAATTAAAATAAAACAAACTAACAATAAGGACGCTGATGAAGCAGGCTGTGGTAGTGTTCCATTCCTCTAATTGTGAGACCTTCCCAACCAACAGGCTGTAGAATATGAAGTCCCCCAGACCTAACTTTATGCCGGCTTATTGTTATTTTTTTTGTTATTGTTGTTGTCTTTTATAGATTTGTAATTATTACTTTTACTCAATTATTCATCCGTCCTGACTCGATCAATCAATCTGACCGCATCTAACTAACTAATCAACCAACCAATCGAAAAAGCAATCAATCAACTAGCCAACCAACCTAACTCATCGTCAATCATTATTCTCTTTGCTTTCTGATTCGCTAAAAAAGTATTAAATAAAACGAATGAGTGGGTGAGTGAATGAATGAATGAACAAGAGATACAATCAATTTGTCTAAAGGCCAATTTGCCGAATGGTTGACCAACTAATCGGCTAACGCAGAATACCACACACACGGCCCAAATTTCATTTTTAGAATGAACAAGCTATTGGAGGAAAAAAACAGTAGTGATAAACAAATGACTAAATAGTGTACAAACAGACATGCACACATATACGCATACACAGGCGCGCGTGTTACGTACATAAGCCTAGATTATTATCAGCGGACTTCTTCATGGACGGTTTCTTCTCCTCATTATCTTCGTCTAAATTGGAATTTTGGGTTTTGTTGCCGACAGCTGGATTGGCGTTCATGGATTCATTCCAAGAAGTGGGATCGGAAATTCCTAATTCAGTCACGGAGATGACGTTGGGCCTTCTGGATTGAACTGCAGAAACTACATCGCGATCACTTACTTCATTGCCAAAACTTGGACTATCAGTACTCCATGATATGCTCTTCGCATTGACATTAGCATTCCGTATCTCGTTCAAATGTGGATCAGGAATATTTCTGCCGTCGAGACTAACGCCTCTCAATTCAACACCGTTATAAATGGTACTGGAAATTTTTGGTTCGTCCTTACGATCCGGTTTAGAATGTATGAATCTATTCATGTAGGCGAGGTTAGTACCTCGCAGTTCACGCTTAACGTTCCATAATTTGTTTTCAAAGTTAGAATCGGGAGTCTTTGATTTCGTCCCTTTAGAGTGAGCGCTTACCATCCCGAAACTGTCGTCGTCATAATTATTACCATTATAAACGTGATCTCCAGAAGCAGCAGTAGCAGTAGATACGTGATAAACCTCAGTATGGATGTCATCTTGTGATGTGGATGATGTCGCTACTACAGCTGCTGCTGCCAATGACGTCATCGCTGGTGTTGTTGCTTTTGATGTTGTATCGTCGTTATCACGATTGGTATTAGTTATTGTGAATGGGGTAGCTGCTGTGGATGATGTTGTTGCTGTTGAATGAGATGAATTCGTTGACGCTTTAGCTACAGTTGTCGTCATTGTTGTTGTTGCGGTTGTGGCTGTTGTAGTAGCGTCATCAGCAGCGCCTACACCACCAACATCATCATTGTTATTATCAATATTATTATTATTATTAATGTTAATATTATTATTATTGCTATTATTCATCTTCATCATCTTCCTCATCCTCATCGCGAAACTCATTCTTCCCGCCATTTTCTTCTTTTTACTGTTAAGAGCATCTTTCATTCTCCATGCCATCGTAGCTGGGTGGGTGCATTTTTATTTTTGTGATTTTTTTTTTAAAGCAAACACTCTGATGATTAGTGGACCAAGTAACTGTTTACATTAATTAGATTCATGAATATGCGTTTACGTAATTTATTAAAACGCGTGCATACATTAGCATGAATTAACATAAATTTATTTAAAGGGACACAGAAGGGCGTACTTGAGTAGACGAGGGCCGGAAATAAGTTCTCCCGTCGTTCGCTGGAAATGTTGACCAACCCCTTCAGCGGTCCCTTCGGCGTCAAAACGGCTATCAGGTCTGTGTGTGTGTGTATGTGTGAGTCTGTGTTTGTGTGTGTGTGTTTGTTTGGTTATGTGTAATGCTTTCATCTTTCTATCGACTACATGTATTGAGGTATGCAATTTAATCCTGCCTTTATAGTTGGTACCTTATATATATATATGTATATGATGCACATACTTTCGTTACACAAAGACAACCACACAAAAACGAAACAAAAAATATAGAAAACCCTCATACACACACACACACACCAACAGAAACACACACACACGCACCAATACTAACCCCAGACTGATATAACTATGAGAAGGGCCCAGGCTGTCCAACCAGGCAGATGTTTGATGAATGTCAGGGCCATGAGGGCCGAGACAACGATCAGATAGAATTGTTGCACTATCAGTGGGGATTTCCAGTGTATGGCTAGTATTCCCATTAGGCCAAAATTCCATAAGTTAAACCCTGTAGATATGAAATCTGTGGCCGTGTTCAGGTAGCGGCAGAATTCACTGGGGTGGCGAGTGGCATGCGTGTGTTTGTTTTTGTATTCTGTGTTGTAGATAGTGTCTGTGTTGTATAGTCTGCGGTGTGGCTGTGTATCTGTTTGTGTGTATGTGTGTGTATGTGTAGTGTGTTAATTCATCCATCCATCCATCCATCCATCCATCCATCCATCCATCCATCCATCCATCCATTCATTCGTTCGTTCGTGATTACTTGCATTAATTTGCGTATAATAGTATTGATCGTTCAGTCGCTACTAATTTTAGGATCATAATTTTTTTTAGTGCATCTCCCTTTTATTGATAATTCATTCATTCATTCATTCATTCATTCATCCATTTAATCAATCATTCATTCATTTCCTCATTCATTCATTCGTTTCTTTAAATACAGACAGATCGCTCATTGGTTCGTCCATCCAATCAATCCATCAATCAAACCATTGTTCATTTGAGCGCAAATTTTTTTTGTACACATACACAAAAATACTCACACCGACACACACTCACGCACACACTCCCACAAACAAACACACGCACGCACACAAACAAACAAACAAACACACCTATAATAGATGTACGAGAATATGAATAGAAGCAGGAGGGTAGCGAGAAACATCCAGACTGAGAGAATCTACCAGGTGTGTGTGTGTGTGTGTACATTTTTTTTTGTAGATAGTGCGTGCTGTAATGTGTACTTAGAATAATTAATGTATGTATGTACGTAGTATGAAATATGAGTGTACATTACAAGAATGTATCAATACTCAGTGTGCATATGATTGTATATATATATATACATCTGGAGTGTATGTATGTATGTGTTTAGTGTGTGAAGTGAAACACACACACACACACATTAACACACACATACACGTACACACGCACACACCTTATAACATCTGTACTTGAACAACAAAAAGAGCAATATTGTCATGATGATGACCACCCCCACTATGATGAGGGAGTTGGCCAGGGACTTCCACAGGGTGTCCTTCACCTCATCCTTCTCCTCGGGCACAAAAGGTGTAAAAGGCCTTGGAGAGAAAGAAGGAATCAATAAAAGAATGAAGCCGGAAGTTAAAAGTTGAAGGTCATTCTTTCAGTTGCACTTGCTTCAGTGGCGTAAAGACATATACATACAGTACAAAATGAGTGAATGAATGAATGGATGAATGAATGAATGAATGAATGAATGAATGAATGAATGAATGAATGAATGAATGAATGAATGAATGAATGAATGAATGAATGAATGAGTAGATGAATGAATGGATGATGAATTAATTGATAAATTTTTGAATGAACCAAATAATAAATAAGTGAATGAACGAATCAACAATAATCACGCCAACACACCATTCCACAATAATATAAACAATTATAGTTATAATTAACAACAACAACAAATAATAATAATAAAATAATTATAATAATAATAACAAAGGCAAGCCTTCCTCCTTATAGAAATCAAGAGCCTGGACTGAAGCAATTACAAACGAGATACAAATGGATACGGGTATGAACAGCATTATTATGCTCTCGGCCCCGTATTGCAAGTCTTCCTCTATCAGAACCATGGGACTTTTTGAAAGATGATCACTGTTTGCAATTGCCTGAGAAGGGTTGTGGTTGGGGTGGTGATTTTAGTTTGGGGTTTAGTTTTATTAGAAACTATTAATAAAGACTGAAGATATGATGGATTTTTTATAAATAATTCAATTTTTCAATTAAAAACTATCAATAAAGACTAAAGTTTTGATGGATATTTTAACAAATAATTCAATTTTTTACGAATCTGAATTGACTTTTTTTCTTTGTTCTTATCAAGTAAAATTTAGAACAAAGAATAGAACAATAGATAGGTTAGATTCTAAATGGGGTAGTTTTTCAAGGAAAAGTATTGTTGCTTAATTGAGTTGGTTTTTCGTGAGGTTAAGTAGGTGTAATAATAAGAAAACAGAGAGATGAAATACTAACTCTATTTCTACTATCTATATTGGATATTCTGTATATATATATATATATATATATATATATGTATATATATATATATATATATATTATTTTATTTAATGGTGCATTCATTCTCTCAATTAACTATTTATTTAGTTTTTAGCAACTTAATTATTTATTTAGTTAAATAAATATTTAATTATTTAAGTCTAACATTTTCGGGATTATTGTTCGAGTTGTCGGCGTCTCCATCGTGACCGCCAGATGGCGAAACCTCTTCAGGACGGTTTTCGACATTTTTTCTCGAATTTCTTGAAGAAAAGCTTAAAACTCTTAAAGGGATCATTCCGATTTTACTTGAAAATTTTAAAAGTTAATAAAAGTTAAAAGTTAAATACTGCAAATAAGATTATCAATGAAACCAATCGAAATAACATCGCCCAAACTCGATTTTTGAATGAAAAACCGTTACGAATTTGATATGATGAAAAGTGAATTCTGTGTCGAGAATAAAAAAAATTGGTAAAAAACTTTTTTGTTGTTATTATTATTATAACTTTAATTAGTAGTAATAGCAGTAGTAGTCGTAGTAGTAGTAGCAGTAACAGTGCTAGAAGTTCTTACTTTCATCTACGTAGAATTAAAAAACTTTTGCCATTTCTTGACGATCCTACACTTCTCCTTGTTACTTCTTTAGTCTTATCTAGGATCGATTTGTAACTCGCTCTACTGTGGTATTCCTGATTCTACACTCCATCCTTTAAGTAAGGCTTCTAACTATGCAACTCGTCTAGTTGCTCGTGCCCCTTTCTTTTCTCATATATCTCCATATCTTGTTCTCTTGCACTAGCTACCTATAAAATATGGAATAATTTTTAAAATTTGCACCTTTATGTATAAGTCTCAATCTAAATTATTTCCTAAGCACTTATCAGATATATTAATTGAACCTAAACGCCTCGGCTTTCGATCGTCTTCTTGTTCTCACTTCTTCTTAACTCGTGTTAAACACTCTTTTGCCAAATCTGCTTTTGCTTTTTCTGGCCCTTTTCTCTGGAACTCTCTACCTACTTCTCTGACTACTTCTCCATCACTTGCGAAGTTCAGAGCGGATCTCAAGACCCACCCACCAATATCAAAATTCATTGAGGAGCGCTGTTGAACATTGCGGAAATAGCGCTTAGAAACTAATTGATTGATTAAACAAACGCTACTAGTAACTTATAATTATCTGAAAAATAATATTATCGTTATAATTAAATACACCATCGTCGATATTTTGCTATAATTTACTCTAATAATCTACTATCACCACCACTACATTTTAGCTACTACTACTACTACTACTACTACTACTACTACTACTACTACTACTAC